GGGAGGGAGGGATAAGGGGGAAAAGGGGACATTATGATTAGCACATACAATGTAGCGGGGGGCATCTGGAAGGCAATTTAACACAGAGAAGACAAGTAGTGATTCTATAGCATCTTACTACCCTGACGGACAGTTACTATAATGGAGTATGTAGTGGGGACTTGATAATGTGGGGAGTCTAGTAACCATAATGTTGTTCATGAAATTGTACATTAATGATAGCAAAAAAAAAAATAACTAGTTGTTAAGTGGAAGGAAAGGAACTTTGGGGAAATGAATTACTTCATATGAGCTAGGCAGATCAGACACAAATATGGACATTAAGAAGGCATACTAAAAAGCAGAAAGAGAGGATGGCTTGAGTAGACCAAAAAGTTCACAATAGCAAAATTGTGAAGACACAGCCACAATCAATAGGCACAAATAAATAGAATAAATAGGAGAAAATGGACATGTTGGGATATGTATTAGTATTTTATCAGTCACTCAGAAATGGCAGTTGTATAGTGGTCCAGTTATTGAAGATCAGAAATGAGTCTGATGAAAAGATACTGTCATTATTACAATAGCCATCATTTATTGCATGGGTCCCACATGCAAGGCATTGTTTGAAGTATTTTCCATGCATTTAATATTTACAATCCCAAGAAATAGGTATTATTAATATCCATATTTTATCCTCATATGAGGACAGAGAGTTGGTTAACTTGTCCTGTAGAAGGTGGTGTCTACAGTCATTACTATAAGTGAGGGTGTTAGCTTCACCAATGGCTGATTCTCCTTGTATGATATTCAGGAATCGTGAAATCCTACTGGAAATAATTTCATTATAGTGGTTTCTGTGGCTGCTATTGCATCATGTAGATCCTGCTTTACTCATGGGGAGACACATATTCTGTTAGAAGAGAAATCCTGCTCCCCAGGTTTGTTCTCCTTCTTGAGTCAGTTGACTTTGATGCTGAGCTTTTATGCTGTAATTGTTCCTGGGAATCTGAACAGTGCAGCTGAGGCACAGTGGACCTGGAGCAGGAAGACTTGGCATACAGGGCCTGCCCTAGGGCTTGGACAGGTCACCTGCCACCATGGAGGCCGTCAGCAGCAAGCTTAGATCAGGACTTTGGTTCATCATCAGTTCTGCCTCACAGATGGTGAAAGACTGTGCAAGTTAATGTCAGCAACCCAACCCCACTGCTCTGGACTGGACTGTATCCTCCCAATTCATATGTTGAAGCCTTAACCCCCAGTGTGAGTATAATTGGAGTTTGGGCCTACAGGGAGGTTCTTATGGTTAAATGAGGTCATAAGCATAGAGCCTCATCCAATATAACTGATGTCTTTCTAAGAAGAGGAAGATAAATTAGAGATCTCTCTCTCCATACATGCACAGAGAAGAGGCCATGTGAAGACACAGTGAGAAGGCAGCTACTTACAAGCCCAGAAGAGAGACAGGCCTCACTGATCATCAACCTGAATGGCACTTTGATCTTGGACTTCTAGCCTCCTGAACAGTGAGAAGATAAATCTGTTGTTTGAACCACCCAGTCTCTGGTATTTTGTTATGGCAGCTCTAGATGATTAATAAACCTGCCAAGCCTGCTTTCTTACCAGATGGGGACTAATGATAATACATGCTCATAGCCGCTGTCTGCTCATGTGTTCTAAGAAAGGCCATGTAAAAAGCTGAGGGTAGTGCCTCGTGCACAGTAAAAGCCTGATGATTTTCAGTTATGTTATTAATACTGAAATGTAGTTTCTTCCCCAGTATCCTGGATATGACAGTCCTACTTCCCGCACAGTAGTTATGGGGCTGCAATGACACCTGTGTTTCTTAAGTCTTCCTTCCCTGACAACAGTCCAACAGGAGAGAGTGCACACACCCACCTGGGGACAGGGGCATGACAAGAAAGGTCTGCTGGAATTTAATTAGTAGTTTAAAACCTATACATGCTGAAGTTACTATACAAGAAGATATGTCAAAGAAATAATCAATCTTCCCATGTTTTCTTCCGCCTGCTTCTATAGCTTTTCTTCTTCCTTCCTAATTACAACCCTTAAATAGAATTCGTGCCTCATATCGAATTTACCGTGTACCACAATTCTTCCAAGTGGTAAAGATACCTCAAGACAAATGCTGGGCATAGAGGCCACAGGGCATAAATATGCAAAGAAGTAAAAAACTAACCTTTTCAAACAATAAGGCTTCTCTCTCACTTACCAACTTTACATTTCCCTGTATGGCCCTGGAAAATGACTGGTTAGCCAGAGACGGGTAAGATTCCTCAAGGGAGGAACAACCTAACACAGGCACAGTCGCAGGGGGGCCATCAGGTGAGGAATTGGGGATCAACAGAGGTGAGGCTTAGTACCCCCTCCCCCCGGTTCTGAGAGAAATCTGCTGCATCCATGGATGTTTTATTGCCCTTGTCTAGCTTGGATTAACACATAGTCTACAGGCACACACCTGATCATCTACATTTGCTCTCTTACAACACTAAACTATGTTTTGTACCTTTATCTTGCATCTACCTACCACTTCAGCATTTTATTAAAAATAATAATAATAAAGAGAGAAATGTGGTATCCACATATAAATCAAGTATAAAAATCAAACGAATATTCATATTTGANGTTCTCCATGTAAGAACTTGTTCATTATGCTTCAGAAGATTGGAGACTGACGAAAATTAGGCTTGGGGTGGATTAATGATTATACATTGAGCATTGAGTCCCCTATACAAAATTTTATGGTTGTTAACAACCATTTGATCAAAAAATAGGAGAGAAGCCCTCACAAAAAAATAAATAAATAAATAAATAAAAATAAAAAAAGAAAGGTCTGCTGGAATGATTTTTGAAGTCTCATGTTTTATCTTAAAAACACATATGCATCTTGCACTATAATTCATATATAGTCATGTTTGCTTTAATTCATAAGATGTTGGCCATAATTTATCGGGTAGACAATTTACAATCTAGATAGAAACTTGGTATTGTGCGCCTCAACCACGTGACCATTTTACTCGAATTTTGAGAAGGCCTTTGCAGGTCACAAAGAACTGTCCTGATGTGAAGAATTAGTAGATTCTTTTTTAAAAATCAACATTGCAATTAATCAATTTTGGGTGCACCATAAAGTGTCTTTCATATTACTAATTAACTAACTGAACCAACTGCTGTTAGTGAGCTTCTACTGTGTGCCAGCAGAGCAACCACACAGATGCATTCCCAGCCTTCCAGAAGCTTACAATCAGGCAGGCAGGACACCAAACACACAACCCAATAAGTAACTCTTTGAGTTATGGCACATCGTGACAAGCGTTGTAAAGGAAGTATGCTTTGAAAGCCTGCAGCAGGGGAGATGGTAAGAGCCCTCGAACATTCTGAGTACCAACAGATTCCTGGGGAGTCCAGCTTCCTAGGAAGAGTGCTCTGGAGGCAGCCTCCTTAGGTGAGGTGTTAGTTATTATGCTTTTAAAGCTCAGTCAATTATTGTCACCCTTGGTTCGTCTAAGGAGGGTATTGTTTCCACAAGTCTGGGAAGGCTAGGTATGGATTTTTATACTGGGGACCAGACAGGGTGATATTTGACAACTTTCAGGGAGGTGATGGACTTGGGAGCAGCGCTCTTTGCCTTAGATGTATGATGTGGGAGATGGGAACATAGGCCTGAAGGGGCATTAGAGGTGCCTCCTTTATCTTCCTGTATTTCTTCCCTAGTGAGCGTGTATGCACTTTGCAAACTTGACCAGGTGTCAGTTAACAGGTGAGAACCGCTCTACAGATCACAGTCTTAGTGCCCGAAGAGCCAACCAGAAGCCCCGTCCGTTTCCTGCCTGCCCTTCCAGGCCCTGAGAGGAGGAGGTGTCTACAGTATTTTGTTGGGATGGGGTGGGTGGGGACATTGTATACATCATTGTCATGTTGGACTGGAAGCCAGCGGTTCCCTACAGAACTTCTGCCTGGCTTTGCGTGTACTAGGAGTGCAGGGGAGCTTATGCCCAAAGTTGCTCATGTGCTCATCCCTGCCACCAGCCCTCCTGTAGCTTCCACGTCCCCAGTCCGTGCGTGTTTCCTTCCTGGGGGCCTCAGCACAGCTGAGAGGCAGATGGAAGAAAGGTGTAAAATTATTGTAGGGAGGGGGAGGGACTTTCACAACAGCAACAATGTTTCAGTAATGTTGGCACAGCACTCAAGCACTCACAAGTACATTCACACCTGGTATCTGTCTGGCTCTCAGAGGCAGGCGCTGATCCCCAGCCTTAGACTCTGCCTCCCATTTCTTTACAGACACATGCCGTTTGAGATGTCTAGGCCTTTTCTATACCACGGTCCCAAGGAAGGCTGAACTCTTTCCTCATGTCAATTCCAATTTCTGCAAGCCCTCACCACTTCTGTGAAATTTCTATCAAACACACTCTGAAAGAGTCGGGGCAGGAAGGGGCTGCAGAGACCATCTAGTCCAATTTAGCCACTAGCCCAGAGAAGAGAAGGGACTGAGCTTAGGCCACGCAGCCTGTCGGGAACCCAGCGGGGCTCAGACACCTGAGGGCCAACACGCACCCGCACACTGCCCGCATTCTCCCAATGCTGTACATAGCTGCAAACTTCGCCCTCCTGGGGCTTCTCACGGGCGCACAGTGGGTGCTCTAAGTCGGGGTGTTTGGGAGTGTAACCTGTCACCCTTATTTTACCCTTCCTGCGGGGAATGGGTGGGAGGAGCTCGCCATTCTCAGGGATCCTGTAGGGGATTCTTCGACAAAGTTAAGACTCTAGTACGCACACTGGAGGCGACTCAGCCCCGGGACTGAGGGACCGGCACACGCGGGCTGCCCTGGCAGGGGGCACCTGTGCCCAGAGCACCGGCCTTTCCACAGCCTGCTCGCGCGTACCCTCTGACCGCTGCCCGGCCCCCACCCCACCGACACCGCTCCGCCGCCTCCCTCCTCCACCTCTCGGGACGCTCGCGCCCCGCGGCAGCCAAGTTCCGGCGCCGCTCTTACCCCGGCTTTGGTCCATGGCGCCGGCGGATCCTCGTGTCACGCAGGGCGCAGTGGCCCCAGTGGGGCCGGCGGCGGGGGGCGCACTGCGCACTCCAGCCCAGGCCGCGGGAGCGCCCCCCTCGCGTCTCCTCCCCTGGACAGGATGCTCGCCTGGCGCCCCCGCCCCTCCACACGGCTCCCGGAATAGAAGCGGAGCACGCCTCTCTCCTGGCGCGGCCGTCCGGTGTCCCCCGTCCCGCGCACGCCCGCGCCACGCCCTGCCTTCCGCACACTCCCCGCGCTCCTTCTGCTGGGGGCCGCCGCGCTGCCACTCTGACCCGGACCCGGGCGCTGTTCAGCTGCATCTGCACTCAGCTAGCGAAGGGGGCTTACTGCCACCTGCCAGCCCATTTCATCTTCAGATAGCCGAGACTGTTGACAAAGTGTTTTTGCTTTTTTCCGATGGAATCAAACCCTCTCTCCCTGCAGCTGCCACGCATTTCCTGGCTTTGGGCTTATCTTCAACAGGGCCCTCCTGAGTACCTTCTAGTGCCAGCTGGTGGACCAGGTACTATGCTGCTGCAACATCAGTAATGGTATGAAAGAAGAGTTAAATAATAATAAAGATCTTGAGAAAACAGGATTGCTAAAAGGTGGGCAATGGCTGAGACACTTCCAACTTTTGATGTTCCCACACTGTGTATTAAAACGTGAAGAAACGCCAAAAAGGAGTAATAAAAATTGCAGAAATGAATCCTTTAGCATGCAAAATACAATGCAATGTAATAGTACTCTTCAGATAATTACAGAACATAGAAACAAAATATTACTATGGCCAGTAGGGACCAGAAATAGGATTTAAGTTTCAAGTTGTATGAAGAATGTCAGTTTCTTTCATGCTATTAGTATCTCTCTGTGAAAACAGGTATAACTCCTTCAGAGACAATGCTTGATGCCTAAATTGAAGGCCCTTTACAAAGTGAAGTCCAAGCCCAGCTGTCCTTCTAGACACCCTCTTCCCCAAGATGGGTCAGGTCACGGTTTTCCTTTCTGACTAGGCCACTCCTTTAACTCAGAACATTCTGGCACTGGGAACACCAACCTTGTGTAAAGGCAGAGAGACAAGAAAGGTCCTGGGAACAGCATCCTGCACTTTCCCAGACTGGGAATATTTTGGGCAAGCTGAAATGAACACTCTTTGCAAAATTGCATGGGGGTAGTTTGTTTAGTGTGTATGTGTATGAGCATGTAGAAGAAATGTGTAGTGAAAAAAATGGTACTTGGATCTGAAAACGTGTGAGCTCTTGCTCTATTTACTAAGTGCATAACTTTCAGTCTATGAAGCCTGCCTGCTCATCTGTGTTGTGGGAAACTTCATTCTGACCTCAGAGAGCAAATGAAATGATGATACAGATCCACTTTATAAACCATAAATAGCTATAAAATGTGAGCCATTATTATTTTCCAAGTTCTTCTTTGTTCCTGCCCTCTTTTCCAATTTGAAAAGGTCAGTTTAAATTCTGAAGCAGACAACCAACAATTTACCAGTGGATTAAGTTCCAAAAGCTCACTGTTTGAACTCAGAAACCCTTGGACTCAAAGCTGTAAATTGTAGTTAAGTTCCCAGGCTAACCCATTAATACTTTTTAAAACATAATATTTCACTTAAAATAATTTTAACAAAGACAGATGGAGACTTTGGTAGATTTTTAAAAGAACTTCCAAAACTTTCAAGTGCTTGAAATTGAAACAGAAAAGTCAGAAGGGATAAGGAGAATTTGCACATATCTGTGGAATAATTTATGGAGTGTAATCTACTAAGCTGTGGTCTTGGAAAGACGTAAAGATGAGAGAACATGGTCTGTGCCCAGTACTACTAAGGATTAACGAAAAGAAGCAACTAGCTGTTCTGGTTTAATTACCCATAATGCCCACTAGGTGGCACTGTTGACTGAATTGACTACAGCTTGGTTGCTTTCAGTAATGGAATGAGATGAATGAGGCAGCTGTGTTTTAAACAAGGAATAACTCTATATATTTCAGTTTTCAGTTTACTTTCAGGCTTACAGTGTGGTGTGGGTGAGGCTGAGGGTAAGGAGTGAGGACGCACGGGTAGAGTGAGGATGAGGGTGAGAGTGAGGATTAGGCTGCAGGTTAAGCATTCTAATTCCCAGCATGATGAGCAGAATGCTTACCTATAACATGGAACATCTGGCATACCACCCATACCCCTTGCCTGTTGTAGGAAAGTGATTAAAAGGCAGCCTATGAGCAGGTCCCAGGCAGGAAACTCACTCTCCAGGGCCAGGCAGGAAACAAATGGCTTTCTCTATGAGCCCTATGAGTCATGGTAGCCCAAGCACAAATAGGGGACTTTGATCTGTGTTCCACTTTCTCTAATGCTGCCAGGCCCATCACTACCCACTGCTCAAAGGTCCACATGCACAACTGAGGCCCCAGGCCCTAATCAGTGAAAGTGATGTCCTACCATACAGCCTGTTTCCAGGAAACAGTTGTCACAGTCACCTCTGTGACATCATGGATGTATAACAACACTGGTGCTCATGCAAGTCATCTGGAGCAGAAGTGCTTCCCATCTGAAGCATCCCCTGCAGAGCCCTAGAAGCTGAATTTTCCCAGATGGCAAACATCAGGGGTTCACTCCCACATACAGAGAGCCCTGCCATGGTGCATCTAAAGGTGTGAAACCCCATCACAAGTTTCACACCCCCTGCATCCATCCAGCCTCACAGGCCTCTATTCCCCTGGGTCCTGGTCAGGGATCAGGATGAAATTCAAGGATATGCTCTCAGGGTTCTGATGGGTGCTGGGTTAGTTTTTGGATTTGTTCAGGGATTTGTGTTGGGGTTCATGTGTCGGATTCATGCTCAGGGGTCAGACTTGGGGTGGGCTTCATTTGCAGTGGTTAGGTGTTGGGTTTCTCTTCAGGACTTCACAGTGCAGAATCAGGTTTAGGGTTCAGCCTTGTGGGTTCAGGGTTTCTGGGTTAGGCTCTCGGTGGCAGGGTGCAGGCAAGGGTTAAGGTTTAGGGTTGAAGTTAATATTCAGGGTAGTTTTGATTGTTAGGGTTAGGGCTAAAGGTTAGGGTCAGGGTTAGGTTTAGGGCGAGGATTAAAGTGATGTGTGGGTGAGGGTTGGTGTATGGGTTAGGGTAAGAGTTAGGATTAGGGATAGCGTTAGGCAGTTTTAGAATGAGGGGAATCAGTTAATGGAGAAGACTCCCTCCCAGGTAACTTACACATGATATTGTCACTGAGATGAAATTACAACGTGGAGTCCCCTTAACCACAGGAAACTAAACGAGTCAGTTGTGGGTCATGGTGGTGATGATCTTCTGTGGTGGGTTATGGTTGCATCTTGAATTAGTGTTTGATAAGGGTTAGATTTAATGTGGAGTTATGTGTTGTTTAGAGTTAAAGTAGTGGTTTAAGTTAAGGAACGGTAAAGTCTTTCTGTCAGTTAACAGTGAAGATCAAATGAGGATGAGGTTAGGGTTCAGGGCAAGGCTTTGGGTCGGGTAAGGGTTAGTTGTAGCATGAAATTATGGCTTTGCTTAGAGTTAGCTTAAGGGGTTAGGGTTAGTGTCAGGGTTCAGTTTAGCTCCATGTCATCAGTGAGGTGTGGGTGAGGCTTAGGGTGAGGGGTGAAGGGTGATGCTTAGGGTGAGGGTGAGGAGTGATCTTCAGGCAACCACTCCCATACCCATCTTCCCAAGGGTAGTGCTGGGCTCAGAGAGCTGCCATTTGGCATTTTTCTGGAGCCCCTGCTTTTCTAGGAATGTGGCTACTGTACAGCACAGGAGCAGGACTCACACTCAAAAGGGTCAAGAAGGACCTGATTTACTTTCTCTATCAGCCATGTGGCTTACCACCACACACCACACAAGAACACACCCCAAACACACCAGAGAAAACACACACACCATACCACACCACACAATCACCACAGACCCTACCATCAAAACACATGCCAAACACATCACACACATCACATACCACAGACACCACAAATGGCACACCGCACACTACACACAACCAACACACCACACCAAACAACACACAATACCACACACCAAAAACAGCACCACACAACACACACCACACACCTCAAAACTCCACACACATCACACTGCATATGCAATGCAAAACACACGACACACACTACAGACACAACACCCCAAACACATGCCATACAACACATACCACACATGACACACTGCAAATACAACATAAAACACATACCAAAACATGACACACACATCACCACAAACACAACAGCCAACACACCACAATGTCACACACACAACAAACTGCAGCACCCCCCCCAAACACCACACATGACACACCACATATGCAACACAAAACACATGCAACACACTGCACACATCAACAGACACAACACTCAACACATATGCCACACACCACACAAGACACACACAATATCACACACATGACACATTGAAAATACAACACAAAACACACACAACACACAAAAACCACACCACATGCACCCCAACACACATGACAGTCCACACATACAACACACCACCCACATCACCACAGGCACAACACCCAACACACCTGCCACACAACATATGCAATGTAAAATAAACCACCCACTCCTCCACAACACACAAAACCCACACCATATGCACTCTAACAAAACACACACATGACACTCCACACTACAACATACCACCCATATCACCACAGACACAACACCCAACACATGTGCCACAGAACACACACAATGTCACCCACACCACACACCAAAACACAAGGCAAAAAAACCATACCATGTGCAACACAACAGTTGTGTGTGTGTTTCATGCATGTGGGCTGTGTGTGTTTGTGAGTGTGTGTTGTGTTTTGTGTGTTGTGTGTGTACTGTGTTTCTGTAGTGTTGTATAGTGCATGTTGTGCTGTGCATGTGTGTTGTGTGTTTTGTGTTGCATTGTGTGTTGCATTTTGTGATACATTGTGTGCATTATGTGTTGTGATTATTGTGTTCTGGTGTTTTGTATTTGTGTGTTGTGTGCAGTTGTGTTTTGTGTGTTGTGTGTTGTATGTTTGTGAGTTGTGTTTTTGTGTTGTGTGTGATTGTGTGTGTTGTGTGGGGGGGTTGTGTGTGGTTTTGTGTGTTGTGTATTGTGTGATGTTTCTGTTGTGTTTGCTGTGTGTTTGGTGCTTGGTGTCTGTTGTGTGGGTTTCTGTTTGGTGTGTGTTGGGTGTGTGGTTGTGTGTTTGTGTAGGTTGTGAAGGGTGTGTTGTGTGGGTGGTTGTGTGTTTGCATTGTGTGTGAGTGTTGTGTGTTGTGTGTAGTGGGTGTTGTGTGTGAAGTGTGGTTTGTGTTTGTGTAGTGTGCTGTGTGTGATGTGTTGTGTTTGTGCGAATGTTGTATTTACTGTGTTGCT